GGGGGGGGGGGGGGGGGGGGGGGGGGGGGGGGGGGGAGGCTGGAAGGGGCTCCGCTGAGCATGTCGACAAGTCTCGGAGGCGGCGGCGGCGCGAGACATAAAAAAGCAAATATATTATGCCTACGAGAATGCAGAAATCAGAAGGACAGAAGAACCGACCACTACTGGTGGGGCTTGCAGTAGAGGTGTGCACAGCAGCAGACAGCTACACAGATACGCGAGATAACCACACCCCGCCAACAATTAAAAACCCATAACGCCAGAGCGAGCAAGAGGGGCACAGTAAATCGACCGAGAGAAAGGCAAGCCACATCGAGATACAGAAAAAAAACGTTGAAAAAGGGGAGAGAAAACATTTGCGAGACTCCCACTGCCAACCCTTTTTCCCCGCCCCCTTGTTACAATACATGTACCTGGGCTATGCAGGAGCTCTCATTGGCCTGAGCTTTGGCCGCCTTGAGCTGCGACTTGAGCTCGTCTCTGGCTTCGCGCAGAGCGGACATCTCCTCGCTGTGCCCTTCTTCCGCTTCCTGACAGGCAGGAGGGGGCGCCAGATGGTAAAAAAGGAGGGAGATCGTACTCGCCTTTAAAGCGTGCTTGTTTCCCAACCAGGGAAAGCGCAAATAGCTGTCAGATGTAGCCCCTCGAGGACATTGACACCGAGTCTGTCTCGACGACAAGCAACGCGTGCTGCCTCTAGAGACGGAGAAGCGGGGGGATGACAACAAGCTTGAGGGAGGGAGTCGTATGAAATGAACGGGTTAAGCACCTGTAGCTGAGCCAGCTTTCGTTCTTGATCTCTCAGAGACCCCTGCAGGCCACGAACTTGCTCCTGCATCAGGTGCAACGGGTATGCGAAACGACGACGAGGGACAACGAGCGGTAGGGTCGGACGGCAGATGATGCGCGTCGAGGGGGAGGGGGCGCGAATTGGGGCATGCCAGCTAACTCGAACACGGCTGTCAACCCGAGGAGGAAATACAAACACACAATAAATGGCCAGTGACCCCCTCCCTGTGGGACCTCAGCTCATATGGCCTTTACAAGCGTTGTCCACTTAACAGCCGTGCTGAGACTGGCGGGCTTTCATTGGTCAGCCGGGTGGCGCGGTCGATGCTAACAAAACAACAACACACACACACAGTCTCCCCCGCACGGGGTCCCAGATCATGGTGATTTAGAACCTGTTCCGTTTTTAGCCGCCCTGAGACTGGCAGCTTTTCATTGGTCAGCCGGTTAGCACCGACGACGTTAAACGAAAAAAAAAAAAAACACCTGCGCCGTCTCTAGCTCTGCAGACGCGGTTTCGAGGTCGTCCTCTCTGGCCTTAGACACCCCCTGCTCTTCGGCGAGCTTGCTCTCGAGATCCTCGAGTTTAGCCGCGGTCTCCTCCACCCGTTTGGTGAGTCTTGCTACCTCGGACTGGAGCGCGGCGATGAGCTGCAAACCAAACATGACGTCCAGACAGTCAACGAGGGGCGGGGGTGGGGGGTGTAGAGACCCTGAAAAGAAATTACGTGCCGCCTGAAGACTGTTGAGATTCGTTTTGAAGGGAAAAGCGTTCTCACGAGTGGAGACTCCCGTCGCAGCTCTCCTTTTGGTAGCCTACAGCGTATCTAAAGGGAAAATAGAAGCACGACAACCGACTCCGCCTCTTTTAAGAATTGCGTCGTTGATGCGCACACGACTCCAGGCAAGCAACAACGCCTTCCCCCCCCCTGCGGGAACATCGCTCCGTCCTCTCGAGGACGCGTGGTAAACAACTGTAAGAAGGCATGCACACGGATGAGTGCTCTATGCCATGGCCTATGGCACCTATGGTTAGGGACAGCAAACGATATTCAGGGTCTGGTTCATCCTTGCGGAACAAAGCTTGGGCCGGCGAAAAACCGGCAAATCGCCCCGGCATCTAACTAGGAACGCGAGCCAGATGATCTACCGACTACGGTATGGGTCTCCATGAGAGGACACCCCACTACATCCACACACATCGTTCCGTCCCGGCATTATAGCGACGCGAGGCCGATGGGCAACCGCCAAGGCACATGGTACAAAACATGAGAACGCTTCGAGCGCTTCCCCCCCCTCCCCACCCCCCTTCCTTCCATCAGACCTGATCATCACCACACCCTTACCTCGTCCTTCCGCTTGTCTTCCGCACCGTTGGAGGTGGCCTTCTTCAGCGCGGTGTGCGCCCGGGCCTTGTACTTGGCGAACTCGGTCGACAGCGCCTCGAGCTCCTGCCGCGTCGCGAGAGCGCCCTCGGCGGCCACCCTGGCCTCCGCCGCCGCCGCGACCGCCCTCTCCTCGAACGCCTCCTGCACCACCTTCGGCCAGAGGGCCACGTCCGAGCTGGAAGACCCGCCCGCCAGCCATGTGCGCGCCTGTCGTACGTACGTGGGGGGGGGGGGGGGNCATGTCTGGGTTGTTGACTACGCGTCCTCGAGAAGACGGAGCGTTGTTCCCGTAGGGCCGATCACAGATGGGGGGGGACGGCCGGGGCCCCCCCAAAATGGGGAGTAGGCAAATTGGAAGCAGCGACAGCGTCAGCAGCGACAGCGTCAAAGGCCGGGAAAATCGTCGCAAGCGGCGTTCGGTCAAGGTGGTATCTACGTAAAATAGCGCGGCCGTTTTTCGCCGGAGGAGTGTCGCAGACACTCTCTCTTCACCTTGTCTTCAGTGACCCACTGCTGCTTGTCGGGTTTGGGCGCCGCGCTTGCCTCCGCTGGAGCAGTATCCTTGCCTCCGTCTTCGCTTGTGGCAGGCTGCCAAGCGTGGGAGGCAGCAGTCAGCCACCACACACAAACAAGGGCGACGAATGGTACGGAGAGGGGGGGGGGGGTACTCATAGTCGTGCATGCCGTAGTCGTTAGACCATTGACCTCGCATCCCTACAAAGCCGGGACGGAGCACGCCGGGTTCTCACCGGACCAGGCTCTCACATCACCAAGCGCGAAGCGCCGTGAGATATTCGGCGAGTCGCATGAAGGGTGCGCTGCATCCTGCTAAGGGTGTTCGGCATCTTGTGCTTACTTCCTTGCGTACGGATGACAGCTGCGTATGAATTAATTTATTTTCTGGTGCTTTCACTTCCAGAGACAGTTGTAAGCACTGTGTAACTGCCTCGAGGGTGCTTGACCATTTTGACACAACATGGTGCGATCATCCCCCTTGCGCGGAGTGAGGATTCTCGACCCCGCACAACATGATCTACTCAACCACCGTTCATGGTTACCCAAAAAAAACAGAGGTAAAACAAACAACAAAACGGTGAACTGGATGCCGAGTTCACGAAGTGAATTGGCTTGTTTTACAACGTCGTTGCCAAGCGACGAAA